CTGAGATGCCACGGCACTCTACCCAGGGGGACGGCTTGAGGCTCCTGTCTAAAAAAAAAAAAAAAAGAAGGTATTTGTATAATTCAGACAGTTGCTGTCCAGAATATGTAAAGAACTTATGCTGATCCATGAAAAAGACAAATGACCCCGGGGAAAAAGAAAAATAGGCAAAGGATATCAACAGAATATTTGGATGTTTGGGAAATGCAGATTAATACAGTAAAACATTTATTTCCCTCCTGACTGATGCCAAGTGTTGGCTTGGACAGTTATCCAAATCTGGAGGAAGATAACATTCTTATATGCTCCTGGGGAAAGAAGGAAGGCAAATTTTTACAACCACTCTAAGAAACATTTGGCAATATCTAGTACAAACGAAAACGCTTATATCCTGTGTCCTAGCAAGTTCATGTCTGAATAAGCCTAGAGAAATTGCATATGTGCCCCAAAGTGTAGGATGGTCACACCTCAGTTGTTAGAGTGGTTAAAGACCAGAAACAACCTCAATGTCTACCTGTGAAGAAATGGACCAATAAAGTATGGCATATTTGTGTAATGGAACTTAAATTTAAAGGGGATAGATAAGATCTGAAACTTAATATATAAAATTAAAAAGATGTAAGTATTAACATTTATATCTGTTTAACAGTTTCTATGTGGAATTGGCTATAGATATATGTAAAAGAATAAAAAACAGACTGGCAGGAGGGCTGCTAGCTTTGTGGTGGTATGGTAAGATGGATGTGGGGTTGGGACTTGGGGTCATCGGTACAGGGGACTGCCCTGTTCTCTATTTTGTTTTTTAAATCCCAGAATCAAATGTGACCAGTTGCTAATAGGTTCTAAATTTAGATGTGGGGATATGGATGTTTTGTTTGTACTTTGTATTATCTTGTACTAAATTTAAGAAAAATGACTTACTATAGCTGGGTATGAACCTACTATTTTCAAGGGAGGCAAAATATAATTTCTTTTTTAATTCTTATTGACACTGACATACTAAAATGTGGAGGAACAAATGATATCTTTTGCACTATATTTTTAGTGATGCCAATTGGTGGAAAGGAGAAAATCACAGAGGAATAGGACTTTTCCCATCCAATTTTGTAACAACTAATTTAAACATAGAATCTGAGGCAGGTAAGTTAAATCTTGAAGAAGGTTAGATCTATTGATTTTTTTTTCACTTGAATTTTATGATTCAGTTTTCAATGTAAAGTAGATTGGTATTTAACTTTCATTTTAAATCATGTATTTATAGGCATTACAATTTAACCTGCTTTTGAACCTAATAAGGGATAATTTATCCCATGTCAATCCGAAGAACTGTTTCTTCAGATTTTAAATCCTCTGAGAGTTAACAGGCATAGTTAAATATCAGGCATAAAATCATCTGTAACCATGTAAATACTTAAATCAAAGTGTATTTTTGTATCTGTTCTGTACAGAGAGTATTGTTTTTATTCTTCACTGAACCACAGTGGTGAAGGTGGGGAGTGGCTGGATGGTAAATGGCAAGTACAGTTATGCATCTGGGTTAGAATCACTCCTCAATTTTAGACTCTCCCTTTCCTCAATTTGAAATAGGAATCTTGAGACAGTAATAATGTTCCTTAATTTGAGATAGGAATCTTGAGACAGTAATACAGTAAATGTTTTCATTTGTTATACAGCTAGAGACGTGGGAGCATCTGAGCATGAAGGAGCAGCTCATAATAATAATTAATGATGATAATCAGAAATGAACTAGTTAATGTTTTTGTTTTTGTTTTTTGAGACATAGTCTCACTTTGTCTCAGTAGAGTGCTGTGGTATCATGGCTCACAGCAACCTCCAACTCTTAGGCTCAAGCAATTCTCTTGCCTTAGCCTCCCGAATACCCGGGACTATAGGCCCCCCATAACACCCAGCTTTTTTTTTTTTTTTTAAAGCTGGGGTCTCCCTCTTGCTTGGTCTGGTCTCGAACCTGTGAGCTCAGGCAATCCACCTGCCTCAGCTTCCCAGAGTGCTAGGATTATAGGCATGAGCCATCACATCCAGCCTAGTTAATGATTTTTTAATTATATGTCAGGCATAGTGCTAAGTTCTTTGTACTGTGTTATTTAATTCTAATAATTCTGTGAGACAGTTGCATTTGTCAACTTGTTTAACAGATAAGGAAACTGTGACTGAGAGATTATGTTTCTAGTAATATGTGATAGAGCCAGGATTCTAAAGTCAGTCAGTTTTACCTTAGAAGGTACTTAATACTGACTCACTGGAGGGATATGTGAACTCTAATCTTTATCACTTCTAGAACTTGAAGCTGTGTGCATCAAGTATTATACTATCTTTGTATGTGTAGAGTGATGCATTCAGAAAAATGAAGTTGTGAGAAGTACTCACTGACTTGAATACTGAGTACTATGCTACTATTTATACTTTTATTCATCTAGTCTGACTCTCTAGGTAGGAGTATTGGAGATACCTTTTTAGATAATTTTTTAGAACATGCTCAGGGAATCATATATAGCAATTTCCACTAGACATAGACTGGAGAGTATTACAAGGAAAAAGTATGGTGGGTTTTCAGTTTATCCTTATGTTAAGCTGGTGGGGGTTTTTTGTTTGTTTTTTTGAGACAGAGTCTCACTCTGTCGCCTTGGGTAGAGTGCTGTGGTGTTACAGATCATAGCAACCTCAAACTCTTAGGTTCTGGGGATCTTCCTGCCTCAGCTTCCCAAGTATGGAAGGCACCTACCACCACACCTGGCTAGTATTTCTATTTTTAATGGAGATCATCTTTCACTCTTACTCAGGCTGGTCTTGACCTCCTGAGCTCAAGTAATCTACCCACCTCAGCCTCCCAAAGTGCTCAGATTATAGGCATGAGCCACTGAGCCCAAGCTTGACCTCTGTTCAGGACATAACCGAAAATTAGCTGCTGACTCGGCCCATAGCACAGTGGTTACGAGGCCAGTCACATACACCAAGGGTGGCAGGTTCAAACCCAGCCCGGGTCAGCTAAACAACTGCAACAATAAAAATAGCTGGGTGTTGTGGTGGGTGCCTGTAGTCTTAGCTACTTGGTAGGCTGAGGCAAGAGAATCACTTAAGCCCAAGAGTTTGAGGTTGCTGTTGTGAGCTGTGACACTACAGCACTCTACCGAGGGCAATATAGTGAAATTCTGTCTCAAAAGAAAAAAAAAGAAAGAAAGAAAAAGAAAATTAGCTGCCATACGTTATTTGAAGTAAATGTCTAGCCATTGGAATTTAAAAATCCTTGGGCTACATAGATTTTTATTGTAATTTTATTTACTTTATTAAAATGTAGTACATTTTAGTAGTCCTCCAGGAAAGATTTGAATAGTTTTCTGGGTTTGTATATTTGTAAGTTACTTGCATATTTGCAAGTTATTTCCCTTTATGAATGACTTTTTTTGTTTAATGTTTTAACTGTCATCAAAGATAGGTTAAAATGAGGTTTAGTTTTTTGCGCATATAGGAAATACAATTTTTTCTTTCCTTTTTCTTTTTTTGAGACTCTGTTTCCCAAGCTGGAGTGCAGTGGCACAATTATAGCTTGTTGTAACCTTTTACTCCTGGGCTCAAGGAAGCTTCCTGTCTTAGCCTCCCAAATAGCTAGGACTACAGGTGTGTACTACCATGCCAAGCTGATTTTTTTATTTTTTATACAGTGGAGGTCTTACTATGTTACCCAGGCTGATTGTGAATTCTGAACCTCAAACTGTCCTCCTGCCTTGGCCTCCCAAAGTGGTAGGATTACGGGCATGAGCATGCCTAGCTTTAAGTGTTTTTTTTTGTTTGTTTGTTTGTTTTTACCAAGAAGGAAGAGTGTAGAAGCAACTCATAATTGTAACATGAAATTAGCTAAATAGGCTCGGCACCTGTGGCTCAAGTGGCCAAGGCGCCAGCCACATACACCTAAGGTGGTAGGTTTGAATCCACC